AAGTAGGCTTTTGAACCTGAGTTTTTTTGAACAGTGCCAATGAAGCATGATACATCCTGGTAAGCTTCAATTTGTTTTGTCCTTGAAGGATGAAGAGAGAAAAATCAAACTGGAAGACAAAACATCACTTGAGGGATGAAATTTGGTAGAACACAGAGGAAAGCTTATGGTAGCTTGGAAATTTCATTGGCACAATGTTTGAAAATCTCTGTGGAACTTGATTTAGTAAATGTGTATGTCTAAAATCACTTGGCACCTAGTCCACCAATAAAAGTCTGTACACAACCCCAACAAGCACTCATAAGCCCCAGATACTTGTTGCAAATGGAGTATACCATTAGAAATAAATGGGTTCCAACCCACACCCCCCTCAGACCAAACTAAGCTTGATAGATCTGTAACCAGCCTCAATGACTCAGTGGTACCACCGGTTCAACTTCATGACCCCAAGTGCAGGATGAACTGGCACAACAAGTCATTAAGACCAGTCAATTACCAGTTGAAAGGTGGTCATCTCTTCTCAAAGAATTGTCCTGATGACAGGTTTTCAAAGGTATAAATACCTCTATGACGAATTGTCATAGGGGTTATTCAGCTGGCATACATGTCGTCTTGAAAAAAGTTGTCCAATCTGTCAATGAGGAATAAAATCCTGAAACCTTGACACATGATTGCCAAACCCTTTGTTGGAGGTTTGCAACTTGTCTTGATTGCCACTCCTCAAGCTCCCTTCAGTGAGCTATATACCTTGACTCAATTTTTACACCAAGCTTATTATCCTCAGTCACTCAAAGTGGAAGCCTACCCATCAAAAGATGTACACCTCCTCTCCATGGCCAGCCAGATGCCAGTGTTGAAAAGGGACATTGATGCATTTCCCTGACACTTACTGATGGTAGATTTTGATATTCCACTAGCATTCAGGTATCAGCACAATGTACCCTTGTCATGAAATCTTTGTTTAAAAAAAAGAAATCTCCTTGCTGAGTTGAGAAGAATTAAATGATGAAATGAATGAAGTTTGAATTGAATAAAGAAGATCAGTTCACTAGGAACAGGTGGATTGGAAAAGTATACCAAAAATGAATGTAGATGATTTGAATACCTAACTAGAACAAAAAGTACTGTAAGAAAAAAAAGAGCTCTCACATGTAGTTAGGAAAAAAAAAATTGAACAACAATGAATTGTAATTTCTCATTTGAACAAAATGAAAGATTGTGTGAATATCAACTGGAGAAGCACATCACAACAGACGAATGAAGATTTTAGGACCTATGCAAAAATGACTTAGGTGCCTTCCACATGGCAGGGAAGTAAAACTTGTTGGGCCAATCAAATTCACCAAGGCAATATTTCAAATCACTCCATTTTAAACATTGAAGAAAAGAATTTTCAGAGAAAAAATTTGAAGAAAAACAAGAAAGATTAATAATTAAGCACCGTATTTTTGTTTCTTGCATAAGGTTTTTTTTTCTACAAATTGTGGAGAAGCATCTTTTAATTCCTGAGCAACTTTAGCAATGTCTTTGTTAATTTGAAAAGAACACCCCTGGTGTGTCCAGGTGCGTCCCTTTTGCTTTCGTAGGGATGGAGGAGGCATGGTGGTGCAGTGTTCAAATTTGGTAGTTTGCCAAACAAGCTCCATGATGCCACTAGACTTAACAAAGTCTATCAGGTAAGCATGGCAAGGAAATAAGAAGCCATGTCCCAATTCTGTAGAAGGGGGAGGGATAGGTTTGCCTGTTTCAAGGTCAACAGAAGCAAAAATACCATACGTCCAGCCGTTGATGTCCTTCTTGTCTTGATGCGGCTTGTTGTAAAAATCGTTGTAGGTGACAGAAACGTTCGAGGCAAACTGGAATTCGATTTGATCCTCCTTACGCATTTCCGCCCATTCCTCCTGAGACCAGTTAGGGATGCCACGTTTATTCATCAACTCCTTGTTTTGTTGGTAGGCACTGTGGGAAATGGCTTCCATCCGTTGAGAAAGGAATTTGTTGAATGATTGAAGTTTCGCCCAAAGAGTATCATCGTGAGCTGATTGGGCAGGTGTGAGATCTGTTCTTCGGGCATAAGTTCCTGTGGAACCAAATGATCAATAACAAAATCCTCACATGATGGAAAGGAATGAAAAAGGGAAGATACATACCGGCAGATTTACCCCTATCATTTCCAGGTCGAAATCCAATCAGGTGCATCTCACCATTGAGTCGGTTGGCGTTTCTTTTATTACAGGGACGATATTTAGCCATAGCATGAAGAGTTTCAATGACTTCACAAAGTTTTGTAAAGGTTGGCGTGGGTGGGTTAACATCGAAAGAGTGGGTTTCAAAAATGAAGTGAGGAGCTAAGGAAGAGGACAAAACAATTTGACGCGGCGGTTTATTGAGGACGGGTAGATTTATGATGGGCTTTCGGGAAACACGAGCTTTGGAGGGAGAACAGATGATGAAGTAACTATCGTCTGAGGGTTTAAGCTTCCTGTATGCCCTCGCAATCTTCTTTGCAGTAGCAGATGCATATTGCGGTGGAGGATTTCGAGGTTTGTGGACTCTGTGCGACATTGCTCGTGCCGTAGAGGAGGACACTGCACGTCTTTTTTTTTGGAGCTGAGGTTTGTTGTCCTGACGCTGTTCGAGGATGTCCGGGCTGCTCGTAGGTAAGGGGCCGGTAGCAGGCAAGCTTGCATCTTTGTTGATCGGAAGAGAAACCACACAAGCCTCCTTATAACCCTGATGGTTGTTGGCTTTACGCCTTGCAAGCAAATCAGTGCTACCCAGAGACAGGGGGCTCTCAGATTGTCCATCGATGCAAGTCGCTGTCTTAAGGGCTGGTTGGATGACCGCACAAGCCCCCTTATGACCCTGACGATTGATGGAGTTACCCATAGTTAATCGATCAGGGCCACCCAGGGGCAGGGGGCCGTCACGCTTAAGAGCACGCAGTAGGTGTTTTCGTTTGGTACGGGTCATCGCTACAGTGATTGATTGGTAACTACGGTAGAACAAAGCAAATAAGAATCCAGGGTAGCGAGGAGTGGTCAGAACGGTTGTGTGTCATCTCCATGGGTAGATGCCATTATGTAGAAGACTCACCAAGATCGAAATCTACAAGAAAAGATGTTCGGTGAGGAGAGCGATGTCGATTGATGTTCTGTAACAAGACAGAGCGATTGAAAAATATCAATATTGACTGATTTGAAACGATACCGTGTATTGTACTGTCAGCCTTAGAGATCCTCAAGAGTATCCAAAAGACTGCTTAATAATATATTACTTGTAATAATAATAAGAAAACCTAGAATATTATTTCATGAATGAACTTTTCATAATATTTTAGAGGGGGTTGCTCACTGGAACCACCCCCAAATTCCTACTCCTTTTAGGACTTTATCATAACTCAAGAGCCTCAGAGGTTAGTAGGAATAAAAGTATAAAACACCTTAAAAATAATATAAAATAAAGATAAAAACAAATATTAAATTTATAGTTACAACTATAAATTTAAACTATAACCCAAAGTGTAGAAATTACCACCTTTGTTAAGTGTGTGGTAATTTCCATCAGTATTATTCTATTATAAGTAGACACATGATGTAATTGGCTATAACAATGCATTATGATGTCATGGGGACATAGATAATACTGTATTTAATCTACTACAAGATTATCATTACATCATGGGAGAACTACTATTGTAGTACATTAAATAAACATTCTAGAATATTCTAAGAATGCCCCCAAGGGGGACTCTATAATATAAAAGAGGCCATTCCTGTCCTAAGATTGGTTCCTCAGCATATTCACCCAAAACAAAATCAGTAAGTGCAGTGAATAATCATCCTACTTTTAGAGTAGTTATCCCAATCCCAATCAACCTTTTATTACTGGAATTATTAGTGTGTAACTTTGAAATTCCCCTTTCATCCCTCACCAAAATTCCTTGTAAAGCAGTTCCAGACTACCACCTCTGACAAGTAGCCAATCAGCTCAAGTGCTTGCCAGCTGCTTCTTAGCAATTATTATTGCTTTAAAATCCAAACTATAACAATTTATTAATTGTTATAATCTCCTGTTATTTGGTTCATTAGAAACAAATAAGCTTAAAGGAGTGTGGACTTAACCTTTGTGGAATTTGGACCACATATAAAGGGTGAAAAAGAGTAATCTTTTTCTTTGATAGTCCTTCAGCACAGTGATAGCACCTGGTTTTTATATTATTTAAACCAGTGTAGCATACACAGAGCTGACATGTACAGACATACCTGAAACGATCAAGATTGTTCAGGTCCTTGGATAGTCAAAACGATTCGGCAAACAGTTGGTTCAATCGACAGCAGTGATCAACCGATTGATCTGGAAAGATGGACAGAGTTTAACGATTGGAAATAGAAAGACAAGAGGTTAGATATCGATCTGAATTCATTATTATTCTGGTGAGGGGTATTCTATCGTAGTGAGTATCACTTACCTTTGAGTGGAAGGTATGTCTTGCAGCGATCTTGGTAAGTCGATGAAGCGATTAATAAGATCGATTTCGTAACAAACGGAACGTGTGAGACAAGGAGCGAGAGGTGTACAGTAGAAGGAGGAGTGCTCAAAACGACACCGATGTAACTGAATCTATAGAAACGATTCAAACGATTGAGAGAGTAGTGTATTGAGTGAACAATCACTGGATCAGTTGTTTGATGGGCATAAGTATGAGAGAAAGAGGCAGAGAGATGACCTGTTAGATGAGCTGATGGATGGCAGCGACTTGATGGGAGCGATCTAAAGCAGACAGGTCATATTAGAGAAAAATGCAGTCATTAAACGATCAAGAAAACAATCAAGGAAAGAATCAATGAGACATACATACAGTTCCGATTGGGTTATTGGTTCTAGACTGAGTCGCTTGAATGGTGGGAAAGCTGGAGGAAGAGGTTTGAAATCGTTGAGCGAGTAAACAAACCGGAGGAACGTTCGGGATGTGTGCATGTTCGATTACATAATCGACCATTTTGAGTTGACGAATGACCCTCCTGAACATTCACTGCAGAGGAATAACTCAAGCCAATCAGCAGTAACTGGATCAATCAAATATAGAAAAAACCTGATTGATGTCAGCTGTACCAGGAACAAGACAAACTCTTCATTTGACACAAAGAATGTGATCAACTTGCCAAATAAAAGGCCAGTCAACTGATGAGATTTAATTGGATGGAAATAAAACAGGTTGGAAAAATCCTTCATAAAGCAAAGAGTGGTCCAAAAATGAAATTTGAATTTGATACCCATCGCACCTTATCAGTTGTACATTGCAGGAGCTCTGGAACCTATTGTATATCATAAAATTTATTTTTCAAGCAATAATAATACTGCACCATGAAATTTCCAGGCATAAATGTATTGATCAGAAAGATCTTTATCTCAGAGTAGGAATATGGTTCTGGTGTGAGTAAAATTTATTGAGATAAGGATCATGCAGTATTGAGTTACCTAGGCTGATAATGTAGGAGGAAAATGGTGAATCTGTGGTGTGTGCATCAACAGAGTGTGTTAGCAAGGTGTCCATATGAAGAGGAAGGAAGTGACATATTCACCCAAAAAAAAGTACTAGTGAACATGATCTACTAGAATACTGCATGAAAACATGAAACAAATTATCAATCCATATTTATTTTAAAATTTTTCAAATATATGTGGCATAGAAAATGTTAAAATAGGAGCATTAAATAGGGAGTGTTGATTGAGCTCATGACCTGGTTAAGCTGATGGTTTCCTTTGCTTAAGAGGGTGTTGTGAGAGTTAAACAAAACACATTGAAACTTTGGATGGATGAAAATACTCCTGGACCATGCAACCCGTGACCAGGTATTTTAAACCACCTTGCTCTGAATTGAACTTCCTACAGGTAAAAACTTTTTATACTGATGAAAACAATTATGTGGACAATGGAAAAGGTGGGAGGATTCAACCTCAGGAGTTGGTTTAATGTCAGGTTGTGATGTATAGTCACTTGAAATTACTGAAAAGCATTGCCTGCAATGGAAAAGGGGAGACAAAATTAAAGATGTTGAGAAAAACATGCAATCATGTTTTGAAAGACATTTGATCATGTGAAGACAATCTTTCTACAAATTATGTACAAAATCGTTTCTTGGTGTGGGTTACTCACAACAATGCAAAGGAATAAGATCCAGCTCAACAGGTCAAATATCAAATAATAAAAAAACTTGATCATAGGAAATTACAAATGGTGTGGATCATTAAGCACGGCGGGCTTATTACAAATGGTGAGGATCATTAAGCACGGCGGGCTTAATAAAAATGGTGGGGATCTTTGAGAACGGCAGTCTTAATACGAACAGTGGGGTTCATCAAGCACGCCGGTCTTAAGAATGAACAAAGTGAGAGGCACTGGATCAAGGGTTTTTGAAAAGATGAAAAGCACTCAAAGATGTTTTGGATGCATGCCGTGATGCGATGACAGAAATATTGAAATTTTCAATAACATTGGCCTTATCAAAATAGAATTAGTGTCAAGCAGTAAAATTTGGAGGGAAAAAAATGGCATGGCAAGGTACAGCTGGAAATGAACATCACTAGTAGGAATTCGAATAATCGTCAAGTAATGGTTATTCTTCAGTTGGTTGGATTTCGATATGTTGAAAACAGGATATTCAATTGCATATATCATCCATCTCTTTTAATAAACAGGTGAAATTCACAACATATAAAATCCAAAACACTTGTGTATAAATATTCTTTGAATCCTTTGTGAAGGGGCATATTTTCTCATTTACTAAGACCGCTGGTCTGAAGCAATCATTGTATGGGTAGGAGTTGTGTGGAGATAATATAGGTTTGGTTTGCAATACATGGATTGAAAATTCATTTGATTGTAAGGAAGAAACTTCCAAGGCATTCAAAGTAAAATTCAATTGAGCAAGGGCCACTTGGCCCAAAATAACTAAGCACGCCGGGCTTAAGGGCATTGCAACAGGGCTGAAACCAAATAATTTCAGGTAGAAAAATATATTTTCAATAAAGAAAGATTAGACACACATAGAATGGAATCGATTGGCATCATAAGAACAAAAATAAACTATTATAAACTATTGAAGACGAGGGGTTGGTGGAATGTTAAATAAATTGGAATCTTTGGTGGTATAATTGATATAATCATGAGCAACACATTTTGCCAAATTATGCCTGGTAGGAATAATTATTTTGGTTACATCATCCTGGTTTTCATGAACAGATAAGAGGATTTGGCAAATGTAATTTCCCAAATTAGCCCATATGTCTTCTTCAGCTGAAGATTTATCTTGAGATCTGGAATGGATTTCTTGAATGAAGTGTAAGACTTCGATAGAATCACTGATAGTATATTGCCGGTGATCGCGAGTTGCAGTGAATATCCCGCGAGCACCTGAGAGGAGAAACGAGATGAATGGGAAATGGTTGTGGCGACTTTCAATGCTGGCTAGGGATTTGTGATCTTCACCGGTATTATCTAAAGCCACGGCTTGAGATTTTGAGTTGTTGGTTTTCTTTTTTTTGCAAGGATTGAATTGGTCTTGGGAATGCTCCTGGAAGATTGTATACGACATTATCATGTCAATGATAATTTTCCGGAGTTCATCAAGCGAGTCACCAGTTGGTATTTCAGACGGATTCACGCCAACTTGAGAGGTTTCTGAGGTTTCTGTGTCGCCATTGGTTATCTGAAGAAGGTTTGGCATAGTGCTCTTGAGAGTGTTGAGCCATGTCAATACCACCACATGTCGTCTCATGGATTTTGTTCCAGATTGAACATGAGGAGCTTTTGGATTTTTGTCAGAGATAGTTTGGACCGAAAGAGCAACTATCTTAGCCCATTCACGGAGGAGTCGAGGAGAAGGGAGCTTGATGAAAGAAAAAAGTGTACGGAAAAGGTTCGACTCTGGGTGGGATGACTTGGAGTTGCAGGGGATAATTGGGTTGGGTGAATCGAGTTGCTTCTTGAGGATGTCAAGATTGAGGACATCAGCACTGCACCACGGCTCGAGGCGTGAATAAACCAACAATTGCAAGAATGGATTTTATGGAATATATAAGTTTCCTAAAATTTTGACTACATGAATTGAGAAAAAAAAGCTTACTTGTATCGATAATTTCTTTAAGCCACTTTTCGTAGTTGAACTCGGCTTTGTTGTAAATGAATGTCGCCGTGGGGGTTTTTGTTGAAGTGTTGGTGTCAAGTCGAAATTCAACAAAGTGTTCAATGGCTGCCCATCCCATTTCCCACTTGCTCTTGGATACTCGACCTTTTTGAAGCGTTGCTGCAGTTTCGTGGAGAGTTTTGCGAACACTTGGATCACGGATGATTGAAAAGTCTTTGGGGTCGAGGTTTGGCAAAGAGTCCGAGGGAGAGGCAGTTTGCATATCAAGTCCAGCAGGAGTAGTGTTGGATGTGACAAGATCTGGATCGGATTGATCAACTTGGTCATTTCTTTCAGGATTCTAGTCATCTTCATCGTTGTCTTCAACTTCAGATGTCAAGGGAGTTAGGGATGAGGGTCGGGTATTCTCGGATGGATTTTGGGCTGGATTCAAGTTGTGGTTATTGAGGACGCTGTGAGAACTCCTTTGGGAATGGTGGCAGTCCTGTGAGGGGGAAATAGCAGATGAGATATATCACGTATGTAATGATCTACTACAACTGTTACGGCTGGTTTGAAAGACCTGCCCCTCTATTATACTACAC